AACCCGCAAGATCACATGCAAACAATGCTGTAATAAGGTAAACCTGACTCTTATTTCCAGTTTCTTTATGTGGGAATCTTGTCCTGTCTTGTCTTATTTTGCGGAAAAGTTCACATTTGAGTGCTCAGCTGCTCCTGTATACCTGTATAAGCACCAATAACGCCTGTATTATTTGTCAAACATCTTTCTTTTACCTCTCCTCCGTCCCTCCATTCTCCTCTTTGAGGACATGCCTGTTTATATGTGTGTGTACATATTGTAATATATACCAGTTATTTGTGTATGTTTGTAAAGCTAGTGACGGTATACTGAAGTGGATCGTGGATAGTCAGTAGATTAGTAAACAATTGTGTGCAAGCTGCTGAGAGAGAGAGAGAGAGAGAGAGAGAGAGAGAGAGAGAGAGAGAGAGAGAAAGAGAGAGAGAGAGAGAGAGAGAGAGAGAGAGAGAGAGAGAGAGCTTGCTTATTAAAAAATGATGAGACCACCGGAAAACGCTTACAATTCTCAATGTAGGTGTTCTGAAGGAAATCAGCTCACAAAGAGAATTTGCTATCAGCATGGAAGTCAGTATGTATTGTATGGGTACTTTATGGCAAGAGTAGAACTGGAATACACAACGATAACATGACAGTTGAAACCTAAAAGAGGTGGGTAGACTGAGAGGATGTACAGTGATTACTGGACTGAGTTCAGCTGAATTGAAAACAGATTTCCCAACACTCGGAACAGTCTGTCTCTAACTTCAGCAGCCAGCGTAGAGTTGAAATTTTGGATGTATACCTGTCTTGTCTTGTCTTTGAGAGGGTATTAGGTCGTTTGGTACCAGATCATAAAAGAACAAAAAGGCTAAACACTATTTCCTTCACACAAGTTATAAGCCATGAAAGAACAAAAGCGCTAGACATTATTTCCTTCACACAAATTAGAAATCACGAAAGAACAAAAGCACTAGACACTATTTTCTTCACACAAGATAAAGTCACGAAAGAACAAAAGCGCTAGACATTATTTCCTTCACACAAGTTGGAAGTCATGAAAGAACAAAAGCGCTAGACATTATTTCCTTCACACAAGTTAAAAATCACAAAAGAACAAAAGCACTAGACATTATTTCCTTCACACAAGTTAAAAATCACGAAAGAACAGAAGCGCTAGACATTATTTCCTTCACACAAGTTAAAAGACTGGGCTGATATAATGTGCAACCTAACACGGCATGTACTAATAAGATTATACAACATTTACTATGAGAGCTACATTTAGTACAAATACCTGAGATAAATCTACCATTTAATGACACAACCTGGTCAATCAAAATTGTAAAATAACTTTAAGTTTAAATATAGATAGTTGAATAAATCTAAACTAGTGCCTTTGACAGAGGCAGCCTCAGTAGCCCTATGGATAGACACTTGTTTATCGGCTTCAACGTTCTGAGATCGAATTTGCATCATATTTAATTTATAAAAAAATGAATTAGGACTCCCAAATTGATCTAGTAAAGTTGGTTTTAAAAATGCGAATTTAGCGTTCGTCGTATGGTGTTGAAAATTTACTCTACTTTATTTATTACCTTTGAAGACGTTTTAACTTCCAATTTGCTGTACATTTAATTTATTAAAAAATGAATTAGGATTCCTATATGGATTTAGTCGAAAGCTGATCTTTAAAATGTGAGTTTAGCGTTGGTTGTATGGTATAGAAAATGTACTTTACATTTGTTAAAAAATTACTTTTGGAAACGTTTTAAATGAACAAATGTTTTTATTTTTTATTTTTAAATGCAGAAATCATTAAGTAACTTTCTTTTTGAAAAAAAAAGGCTCTGGAAAGGCTAACCCAGTCAACAAATGCCCGCAGAAGTCGATTATGTTGGCCGAAAGGTTCAAATATCGCAGCCATGCTGTAAACGGGCAAAACGCATTTACATCTTCGAATGAACGCAGAAGACGAAGAAGAAACCGTTATCCCCAAACATGGAAACCGAATCCCAAAGATGATATTGCATCAGCAGACACGAGCTGTGCCACTAGCAGCAACACGAATTGACCTAGCTGGGAAAACAATGTAAATAAACACCTGTTTGTCATTAGCACTGTTGTGGTCATTAGGAAGAGATTGACTACAGTTCGTAGGGGGGGGGGGGGGGGAAATCCCGTCTATACAGCGGAAATTCCCGATGTTAAGAATAACCGACAACTGATGTTTATGGCTGCAAAAAATAAGTGGTATTGAATCAACTTACTCACACCTAAAAAAAGGACAACAGGTTTCTTAGTGTAACCGTACTGCGCCACAATATAACCGTTTTTCACGACTGAACAGAATGGCTAGGATTTATTTCATTTAGATCATTATTATTTGAACAGTTGCTTTTTGGGTCACTGGCAGGGGGATGGGGGGGGGGGGGACTTGAATAGATATATGCGTGTGCGCATATGTATGTATGTATGTATGTATGTATGTATGTATGTATGTATGTATGTATGTATGTATGTATGTATGTATGTATGTATGTATGTATGTATGTATGTATGTATGTATGTATGTATGTATGTATGTATGTATGTATGTATGTATGTATGTATGTATGTATGTATGTATGTATGTATGTATGTATGTATGTATGTATGTATGTATGCATGCATGCATGCATGCATGCATGCATGTATGTATGTATGTATGTATGCATGCATGTATGTATGTATGTATGTATGTATGTATGTATGTATGTATGTATGTATGTATGTATGTATGTATGTATGTATGTATGTATGTATGTATGTATGTATGTATGTATGTATGTATGTATGTATGTATGTATGTATGTATGTATGTATGTATGTATGTATGTATGTATGTATGTATGTATGTATGTATGTATGTATGTATGTATGTATGTATGTATGTATGTATGTATGTATGTATGTATGTATGTATGTATGTATGTATGTATGTATGTATGTATGTATGTATGTATGTATGTATATAAGAAGAAGAAGAAGAAGAAGAAGAAGAAGAAGAAGAAGAAGAAGAAGAAGAAGAAGAAGAAGAAGAAGAAGAAGAAGAAGAAGAAGAAGAAGAAGAAGAAGAAGAAGAAGAAGAGAAACAACAACAACACAGTTATCTAGTCAGTAAAAGTAAACACCAACATTAAAGTCACGAAAATCATTTACATCATTAACAATTTTTTTACCCCTCTTTTCAGTCTTGTGACATGATAAAACAGAAGTGACGACATGCATCGCTACCTCTAAAGTTTCGCAATCGAAACCGTCAAATACGTTGAGCAGCACGTAATGTGAGCTAACAATAGAGTTTATGATTTTATCAAGCGTGAATAAATATGTGGGAGCCTGACAATTAAATGGGAATATCCTCATTAGATTATCTTACTTGTCACCATCATTCACTCTATTTTAAGTCTGTTTGTCTTGCCTCTGATCTCAAGCCATAAAACTGGAAGGTGTTAATGAATTTGTTTACTGATACAATAAGCAACAGATGAGAAGCTCAACTGTCTCAAGAATCCTTATCCCCATGTATTAAAACGCATTTCAATATTGGACGTGATTTTAAGTTTTAAAGCCCCAACCCGGCTGTTGTCGGGGGCCATAATATAACCTGACCCCGGCTCGCTAGCGTAGTTTTTTTTAAACCTGACTTGGCGGCGACCGGGTGACGAACTCCTCGTGGTCAAGGTTTAAGCCCGGGGGTATGCAGAAAGGCTACATTTTCTCCAAGATTTACGGTATATATCATGGAATCAAGACTGAAGGGTTGCGATATCCATAGTACCGAGCCAAAGGGTTTCATGGTTTCTGAGAATTGTTTGCTTCTGATTCTTCAGGTGTTAATCCACAGCCGTCTCTAGATATATCTGAAGTGGGCTATGGTTAATCGTAGAGATAATGGCAATCATGGAGAGAAGCAACGTCACTCACGGCCAATTTATGCCACTCCGGCACCATCCCCATTTTATTTTACTTTTCAATCCACTGTAGCGCCAATGTACTCCACTTTACGAGACAAGATGTTCTTTTCAAGCCATTTTTTCGCGATAAGATTATTTTAAGGATATAAATATCAAAATACGGAATTCTTCTATATACCTACGATTTTTTAACTATTGCTAAAGAGACCACTGATGCTATACCATCATCATCATCACGTGCCTTACCGACTGGCGTGGGCGATCATGCCTCTCCACAGTCTGCGTTCTCCTGCAGCATGTATAGGTTCGTGTTCTGACACACCCCCATGCCATGCAACAAGACTGACACGAATCTTTTCGCGTTGTCTTCCTCTATCCATCATCCCACAGATCTTTCCAGTGATCACAACATGTTTCATTTGTCCTCTTCTCACCACTTGGCAGAAAAATGATGATTGTCTCCTTCTGATGTCTGTGATAAGTTGTTTTCGGGCTCCCGCCTCTTTCAAAATCTCTTGGTTGCTCTTTTTGGCTGTCCAAGGTATTTTAACATTCTTCTGTAAAACCACATCTCTGAGGCCTCAAGAAATTGTTTGGCCTGCCTACTGATTGTCCAGGACTCACAGCCATATGTTAAAACTGGATGTATGTAGCGAGCAAGAATTCTTTTTCTAACCTTCGATGACAGTGATATATTGCATAAAATGTTATTCATTTTATAAAACGCAGTTATATATGCTATACCATACAAGGTATATACCAAACGAGGAGAGGGACGTAGACCAAGAGGTAGACTAAGAACAAGATATGAGAAACTCTATAGCACCACAATGCGTCTATGGCCGAAGCAGCCAAAAGAGCAAGAAGCAGGACGTTATATTTCCTTCGACACCCGAAGCGGCCAAAGAGGACGTAAAGAAGAACAAGAAGCTGAGGAGAGCTCTTATACAACAAAAAGTAGAATGGGATGAAAGTGTGTTTCCGGTGCCGTAGAAAAACAACAACCTGCAATTATTTGTTTGTGTCCTCAGGGACCTAAGGTCAGCTCGCAGACTACATCTTTTCATGGGAACTCGTGTAATGAGTGATTTCTCTCACGACACCTTGCCCAGAAGAGACAACAGAAATGAAAATCCACAAATATTTAGAAAGGACGGACTTGATTTACCACTGATATACGACGGACCACCTCCGTTGATAAATAATGGATCGCCAGAGCGACCTCAACAAACTCAGACTGGTTAGTTAGCAAATCAGAGTTCAGTTGGCCACTTGGGCTGACCATTGTTGTTACTGTTAATAATAACATAATAATCAATATTATTAATTAAACACATTTCGAAATAAAATGATCTAATCTCAAGTTAGCAGAATTTCAGGAGTATTAATTTTTTTAAATTGATATTAATATTATGGAGAAATGACGAAACTCATTTATTACATATTTTAACACTAGTCAAATAAGATTTTCAAAATTCTCTTATACCAATAAAACCAGAACAGTAAGATAGCTGTAAACAATCTCTTTCCAACGGTACCTAATTTATGCTTGTTTGTCAATTCTAAGCCGAGATATTTAGGTTTTTGTGAAAATGAGACGTAAAGAAGAAAAAATAAACAGCAGTTAACAGTTAAAACTCGTTGCCCAGAAACAAGAATTACTTAAGAACTGTTGTGGTTTATTAGGTAATAAATATAACCCCATGGCATTATATATTTTTTGGAACGGGGCAACAAGGTCCAACTAAAAAACTATGAAATGTTTAGTTATTGTGTAATATTGACTAATTATTATTCAAAATGTCCGCCAATTACCATTAAAAAAAATTAATAAAAGTTTAACCCAATACCTTAACACTCCTTTTTTTTAACCTGATACTACAATCACTGGGTCATATGGTGATGCTGAAGAATGCTGTCACCTAAATTATTATTCCCAAATGGTTGCCGCTTATTATTAATATTATTAATAACAATTTTTGTTTTTAATTTAACCCAAACTAAAATTCCACTTTAAAAAATATTTGGGGGTGTATTAACAGAAAGATCAAAAGACATTATATATTTTTACAGTACTCTTAATTGTCTGTAAATAGGTTAATGTCTATTGCGTATCACATAAATCATCAGTCCTGCTCTTCTCACACAACCAGTGGTTAGTTTTGTATCATTTGGCTCTGCTCTCTAATCTTGCCAGCCTGTAAAAAAAATTTTACTATCAATATTTTTACTAATAACTTTACTAATAGTTTAATTAGTCGAATAAAATTTACTAACTAGCCTGAAAAAGAACAAATATCTGTAAATATAGACGCAAAAATACATGCAAATAGTTAAGTAGGTAGTTATTTAAACAGTTCAATTGATCATGCAATGTATACATTCACAATTTAAGTTATTGTTATAAAGTAATGATTTAATGTCATTTCATTTAAACAAACCATAATGATTAGAAAAACTACTCACATTTTTTTCTTTACCTGGCCATGTTTGAAAGCTGACTCTGCAAGTATTTATCAAATTAATATATATGTACACACACACGTACGCAAACTAAAAACAGTTCAATTAATTGTGCAACATATACATTTACGATGTAAGTATTTATAACTATTCACCTTTTCACTTGTCCGTGCTTGAAAGCTGACTAAATTTAGAAGCCTGTTTCTTTACTTTACTGTTCTGAAATAAAACTGGACAATTTGCTTTAGCTTTATGACATATACACTGCAATAAACAATAAAAATTATAAATGAGCCAATATTGTTACATAACACTCCCTGTGTGGGTGCAGGGGCCACTTTGTGTAGGAAAACAAGAATAGACCCACTGCCTTTTCAGCAAGCATGTAGACTAACTGGGGACTTCCTCTGAAGTTGGTCTGCATCTGCCCAAGCGGCAAGGAACAACCAACTGAACACAAATGAGCCAGAGTAAAGTATAACCTGTTATACATTAAATGAAAGAGAAATTCAGTTCAGTTGACTTTACAGGACTGTACTCATTGTTTACATACTTTTATGTTTAAGTAATTTTTCTTCTGCCCTTAAAAGAATGGTTGGCTCATTTTGTTGTGGTATACAGCTAGGTGGCAATATCTGCACATTTTGGCCCAGCACATCTAACTTCAGTACTCTCCAATTCTAATTCCAATTGTAGAAAACACAATTTTTAAGCGTTATCCTCTTTTAACTGTCAGTTTTGCTTGAGTTCTGTGTAGTATAATACTGTGGCTGCTTCCTGTTGGGTGTGGTTTCCGTTGGCAATGCTTTTGGCTCCTCCTTATTGGGTGGTTTTACTGAAACATGATGGGATGAATGACAACGCTAAAAATGCCTGTTAGTTTCGCCTGGGGCACCCTGAAACAAGTTAGGGTTGGGTCTGCTTTGGTGGGCTTCTCCTGCAAATAGCTGTGTTGGCGGAGTTTCTAGTTCTGGTGGTAGTTTCTTCTGCCGGGGGTGTTTTGTTAGGTCTCCGTGGCGTCGACTGAACAGAGCCAAATAAACCAAATAACCAAATTTCATTACTCTCCTAATAAGTCCTGTTTTATTCACCATGTGTGTTCCAGGGCCCCAGAAAAACAAGAATATATTCACTGCCTCCCCAACAAGCATGTCAACTGACTGGGAGCTTTCTTCGAAGTTGGAGTGCATCTGCCTGAGAGGCAAGCAACCAACAGTCTGCATACAAATGTCAGATATGTATAATGGATGTGCACATAACACTTAGGTTCTGGAACAGAACTCAAGTCCAGAGGTGGACGAACAACCAGAACTTTCTGCTGGAGTTTACAGCTGGTGAATGCAAAGAAGAAGAAGAGTCCTGTTTTATGGCATACTTGTTATGTGAAAGTGGGTTTATTCTTTTTCCCCCAGCATGGGGATACAGAAATGTTTAGGTAGTGTTTTTATCAAATGCATACTATTATGAAAAAAAGTCAAGAAATGTGCAAACATTTTCTGTCTATCCATCTCTATCCATCTCTTTGCAATGCTTCTATGAGTTTAATAATGCACCAGATTTTATCCAATGGGGCTCAGTCTCTGCTTCCTACCTGCCAGAGCATCACAAAAAGCACAAACCTTATAGCACTGATGACCATCCCCAGGGATCGTGGTGAAAATTGCTATCGTCATTCCAGTGACAGTCTGAGAAACAAACTCATGACCTTTAGAGTGGGATTCAAATGGCTTAACCACTTATCCACAGACTGAAAATGTTTCTCTGAGAAATGGTTAAGCTGTTGGTCTTACAATGGGAAGAGTCTCACTTTCTGTAGCCAGTTCTCCAGCCCTATGTGCTTTCATAGCCAGTGCATCTTCCATATCTTGTATCCACTTTCGTGGAGGTCTGCCTCTGCATCAATTTCCAAAAGCTTTTCCCTCCATAACTGTTCTCTACAGGCCACCTGATGTTTACAATTGTCAAGAATACCCAACATTTGTGACAGGATGTTGTTTATGAACCAGTTCTCCAATTTATATAGTTAGATTAAAGATAACACAGATGCATACAGTTCTGAGACCTGCATATTTGGAGATATTTATACGAATGTAAATAAATTACATTTTATACAAATTTCATTATCAGTTCTGCTGCAAATAGGGAAATTAAATTGTATCACTTTAATAATAGCATGAGGGAAATGATTGTAATTTCTTCTTTTCTTCTTTACCTTCACCGGCTGTAAACTCCGGTGGAAAGTTCTGGTTGTTCATCCACCTCTGAACTTTAGACTTGTTCCACAACCTGAGTGTTGCGTGCACATTCGTTTTTCATATCAAACTTATTTGTATGATGATTGTTGGTTCCTTATCTCTCAGGATGATGCACTCCGACTTCGAAGAAAACCCCCAATTAGTTGACTCTTACGACGTGCTTGTTGGGTAGGCAGTAGGTCTGTTCTTGTTTTCCCCTTAATAGGCCCCTGGAACCCACACAGGGATGATTGTAATTTACTTCATTTGTTTTCCAGACCAAGTCAAGAAGTTGGCTGGCCTTAGTATTGGTTTCTGTGGGTAAGTATGCTACATTTAATAAAACTGCTTCTTCTTTTGCATTCAGTCTTAAAATTGCAGTTAACATGTTGCGGTTATATGTTGTGATATATCTGCACATTTAAATCAGCCCAAAACATCCGATTTCAGTAAACTCCTTCTTAGTGACTTTTTATGCTTGGGGGGAAAAAGGGGGGGGGGAAGAAGGGATGGGTGTATTCATTTATTTCCCAAACTGGAACTCTGGGGGCACACAAGAATTGAATAGAACATTTTCCCAATGTTGGCTCTAGGGCCTCATTGTGGGGAGAACAAAAATAGACATGCTGTCTTCCGAACAAGCTTGTCGTAGGAGTCGACTAATTGGGGACATCCTTCTATTTGAGAGGCATGGAACCAAAAGTCTGCATACGAATAAGCCAGATCTGTAAATCGGATATGCACACAACACTCAGGTTGTGAAACAAGACTAAAGTCAGAAGGTGGACTTCTTTTTTTTAACCGGAGTTTACAGCCGATGAACAAAAAAACAAAACAAAAAGAAGAATATAGCATTTCATGCAGTTGTAGAAATAACAGGAAGCATCAACAGCTTTTTTGTGTGGAAGTAGCTTACACTGTTGGGTTTCTTCTTCTTCACGCTCACCAGCTATAAACTCTTAGTGGATAGTTCTGTTTGTTTGTCCACTTCTGGTGTTTTGTCTTCTTCCAGAACTTGAGTTTTGCGTACATGTTCATTTTAAAGATCTGGCTTTTTAAAAAAATGCATTCTGTTGGTTCCTTGCCAACTTTCCAAGGAAGTACAGAAAGTAGTTATAAACTGCTAAATGTTGAATTGCCTAGTAAAAGCACGAACAGCAAATAAATGCTTGAGTTAGTTTGCAAATTCAACCGACTGAAATGTGTCACCATGTTTTATCTTTCTTGTTCCCTGCCATGTTTGTTAAAAGGTTAAAGTCAAGAGGACCGACTTTGTTGTACTGGGTTTTATCCTATATGACTTGGTCTCTATCTGCAGAATGGCTAGCTATCTGCTGAGTGTGCGCTCAAAGCACAGACTCTGTAATTCCAGCGATGATCACAAAGGGTCGGTAAAAATTACACTCATAAACGGAACAATAGAGCCTTGAAACGAATCCACGACCTGCAGAACTTGAGGTAAACGGCTTTAGCACTTCGCAACAGAGGCCTCAAAAATACTTCCCAAGTCGAGATTTAAACCCTGGCTGCTACAGTGAGAGCACATAGTGCTAGCAAGTAGACCACTTAGGATATAGTTCAGATCAGATCATGTATTTGTATTTCTCACCAGTCACTATTGCTACCTAAATAAGTAAACTTTTAGTGCAGCCTCATGAATAACTCAGTCTTACATTCACCATTTCAGCATTACCAATTTTGATGTTTTAGAATTATACAATCTGTTGCACAATCTATACTATCGACTTCGCAGACACATGTACAAAAAATGTAAGATTAGCTAATCAGCCATGTGTACATGTGGATTAGCATCTGAAACAACAGATCACGTTCTCCAAGAATGTCCGAAATACAGCATATCAAGGCAAACCTTTTGGCCATGAGAAACACCGGTGCAAGCTTAAACTGTACGGGCACTGACTGAATTACAACCGACAGTGAAGTTCATACTAGAGACAAAATAGCAGATATAGATAATCTATTTCAAGTGAACGAAAGAAGAAGAGGATGTTTTCATTTCTGTTATAGTTTTACACATAGCTACAGTGTACTAACATTTTCACTTCTGTTTGTTTACAGAATGTTTGCAGAACAGTTACTGTCACATCCTTGTATTGTGTTAAGACGGCAATGTCAGGTATCCTGTGTTTATTTTTTTCATGAAAAAATACTGCTTAAGAAAGTCTTTCAGTAACAGATGTTTTAAAAAAAAATATAATTTTAACAAGTAATTTTAAATGACTTTAAATGATAATATTAATGTCTTGGCAAGTAAGATTAGAGTTCAAGAGTTGTCCAGAAAAAACACCCAACAAAACACTTGATGATACTTTTGATTGAAGATCAAGTTATGCAGCACATAAGAAGATTCTTACATCAGTTCAGATCTTATTTGACCCATACCTCAGATTTATGTGTTAACATTTAGTTTTCCGGAGGTTTCACAATTAGCCACCATTACAATTCTCATATTTCATGGTTTGGTCTACAGTGAGACTGAGATAATAATTTCAGAAGTCAGACTATGACTGTTAGCTGTTATGAGTGTGTGAGATATAATGTACACAGCCTTATTTTTGTTTCAGTCAAGATAGGAAGGAAATTTATTTGTGATTAAATATGTATCACAACATGCAAATAATAAAGACTGTCCCCACAGTGGTCATATCAGACGGTCTTCTTCTGCCTCTCACTTTTAGTTTTTCCCCCACATACTGTGAATTATAATCTATCTGTTATGGGTCCTCTGTGATATGCCTCTTCAATTTCATAAGTCTTTTCCATAATGGTTTTGATGTGCAGTCTTGTAATACTTGAAGGTCAAAATACCTCAGCATTTGTTTTCTTCTCTGACCATGATGTTGTAATGTCTTTAAAACAAAAAGCTGTCTCCACAGTCTCCAGTTCCTTCACCATTTCATTACTAACTGTTCACCATACCATTCACAGTGATAACCTATGTAAAATGACATTCATTGATTAATAGTGCACCATCTTCACAATGGCTTGCTGCCGGTTAACCAACTGCTTCCTTTTGGAAAATGATTGTGGTGAGGACCAAATATCGCCCTGAGACAACTCTCATTCTGCTGTCTTAATGCAGCGAGAACATTTTTCAGTAAACCATTCACCATGGAAATAGAACCTAAGCCATAGACCCACACTGTAAAATGGAAGCAGTTCTTTGGTTTTGTTTATATCTCCCTGACAACACATTATTTACTTATACATTGCTGTAGTCGGCGTCTGTGGTTTAGGTGTTGCGAATGCGCTTCGTAATACTGGGGTGCTGGTTCGATCCCAGCTGCGGATGGTTTGTCTTGCCTTGCTTTCGACAGTGGCACCAAGAGCTGACTATTTAGAAAGCAGTGGCAAACTACTGAACGTACAGTTTGCCTTAAAAAAAACCCATAACAGCCAAAAAATGTTATGGTTAGTTCTGCAATGTCCTGTAAAGGATACGCAACTAACTTTTTTTTAAACATTGCTGTAACTCTCCTTTTTTTCTCTGTCTTCTTCTCTCTCCATATATACTTAGAGCACATTGTTACTAAGATGTTGTTCATGATGTCTATTATTATTATTATTATTATCTGCTAAACCGATATGTGGATGAATAATGTATTCATGGAGCCCAGAAGGGCAGAATATAAGATGGGCCGGTGTGACCAATTCTTAACCCTTTGAAAATAAAGTTTGTTAGTTCGTTTGTTTGTTCCCTTCCTCATCTTCTCCTCTTCCTGGTCTGAGGAGAATGGCATTGTGGGGAGTGATTAGGGTATCTGGTTGATGCTGCAAACTCAGGGGAAAGGCAAGATGGAATCAGACTGTTACTGGTACCATTAGAACTGGAACTCTGCACTTGCTGCTGAAGATTGGGACGGATCTCTTATGAGAATGTCTCGAGTACTGTGATGTAGATGCTTTATTAAACAATAAACATTGCTGTAACTAAATATTTTTTACAGGTTCATCATGCTGGAGCATGGTATCACCTGACCCCAATTTCATTGATCCAAACTGTGATAAATATACAGCGCTCACAGGTAAGCATGCTGTCTTTGAGGTTTGTTTGATTACATAAGACACAAACATTCCCCATGCAGGGTGTTAGAGCCCATTTTAGGGTTAAAAAAATTGACCCACTGCCCCTGTCATAAAAGTAGACTATTTAGGTGTCTTTGCTTTGAAGTCGGATTGCATTTGCCTGAGAGGTGAGGAATCAACAGTCTGCATTCAAATCAGATCTTTAAAATGGGTGTGTACGAAGTGGACAAACAACCAGAATCTTTCATTCGAGTTTACTAACGGTGAATGTGAAGAAGAAGAAGCAGAAGAAGAAAGAGGCGTGGAGGGTTATAAAAGACACACACGAAAAGCTCATTCCTTTATGAAGTTCTAAAAAAATATACGTGCTTTCTGCACACTGAAGATTGGCTACAGTGCACCTACTGCTATCTTTGTGTCCTCTGTTTTGTACTATTGTACAAAAACAAGAATGTTTAAAAAAAAAAAAAAAAAAAAAATAAACCTTCACCGTTGAAATCAAACTCTTGTACTTGAGCTTCATGAATTTGTTAAACACATTCACTAGCCTCTAAGCCACCCTGCTGAGTTCAAATGTTTCATTATATATTCTCATCTGGATGATAATATTCATTCCACATTTACCATAACAAAACAGGTTAAGAGAATAGGCCCTTGACCAGTTCATAGAAGCCATCCTGTCTTTCGCCATCTACAGCTTGCTATATATTTTTTCCACATTTTTCATCCCTGTCTTGAATTCTTTTCTCCATGTGCAATTAGGTCGTCCCCCCCCCCCCACCCCTTGCGTTTCAGTATATACAAGGATCCCTGTGTGGATTCCAGAACCCCATTCAGTTGGGGGGGGGGGGGGAGAGGGGGGGGGGGATTAGATCTATTGCCCTTTTACAGGTATGTCATAAAAGGTGTCAAATTAAATGTTAGCTGAAATCGGATGTGTTATGCCGAGAGGTGATTTATTGAAGCCTAGCGGTAAACCACACCACCTTGTGCTAACTGTCCTTTAGAAGAAGAAGTCTAAGGATGTTCTATGAGAAATTGTGACTTGTCAGGTTTTCTCAGTAAGTATCCTGTCGGGTAGAGTGTCTTTACCCCCACTTTTTTTTAACTGGAGTGTGTTTAGTTTTTCTCCCCAAGCTCCGTCCACATTAGTGATTATTTTGCACCATTTGTTTCCTTTAGTTCTGCACAGGTACCAGTTAATTAACCTACCTCTATCAAATACTTTCCTTAAGAAAACTGAGTTCTCTTCGTGCAATATGTAGCGAATCAATTTTATAAAAGTAGGGGCTTTTGAATTGAACTGCTGTAGAAAGAATCTCAGAATAGCATGGAAAAATAAGAAAAGAAATACTTACATCCTAAAAGATCTGAACCTCGAGGCTAGTATTGGCTAGTTAACAGAATCTTATCTCAGAAACCGAAATATTTTGGCCATATCAAGTGTCAGAGTGGATTGACAAAAATAATAACAGAAGGCATGGTAACAGGAAAGAGGGGCAGGGGTCACCCAGCACAAAGATGGGCACATGGTAGGACATACTGGGTAGAAAAGTGCACGAGATGGGAGAGTTGCTGAGAGGCACAGGTTTTTTCAAGCATACTGTGGTGAAGGACTTCTGAGTGCTGATACTTGAGGGTGTAACCATGACAGGTATTAAATGTTCTTTACAAGTGATCAGCTCTTAGCCTGTATGTGATTACTTTCTCCTTTATCACTATTCGATTACTGATTTGTCATTATCTGCAACATGGTTGATGGCGTCCTGTTCCAATGAATCCACCTCATTGTCTGTATTATTCATGTTCTGCTTGCACATATATTTATATCTTAGTAGAGGTTGACCAGGGAGTCACCCTTCTGTGGCAGCTAGATGCTTACCTGCGGATTGGAAGGTCGTAGGTGTGGGTTCTGACGGTACCAAATTTTTTTTTTTCAAAAATTTCCTTGGCTCCCAGGTCGACCCAGCCTTGAATGGGTACCAGGTGGAGTCCTGGGAAGTAAAGGTGGCCGGTATGAGGCTGACATCACGCACTGAGTGCCGATTGATCTAATATATAGGTCTAGCCCCATATGCCCTATACATCTGAAGGCGTGGAAAGGGTCCTTTACTTACTTAATTTACTTACTTAGAGGCTGGCCACATCTTCTGCCATTTGTGATTCACCATAGAGGATGCTGTCTTTAGGTTCTCTTATGAGTATGCACCTGTTAAACTGTTGATAAAAGTTTAACTGTTGATAGTAGTTAAACTGTTGATAGTAGTATACAAGCAAGGAAGATCTGGAGCTATAGAAAGACTAAGGATGTAGTGGGCTGACAAAATCAAAAATCTTCTTCTTCACTTCCTCTTTTACTGCTTTGAGTGTCGAGGGAGGTATAAGGTTATGCTTGTTGCTCTTCTGACTGCCTGGAACATAGACACATTGTCCCCCGTGTGGGTTCCGGGGCCCTATTGTGGGGAAAACAAGAATAGACCCACTGCCTTCCCAAAAGCATGTCGTAAGAGTCGACTACCTGGGGAGCTTCCTTTGAAGTCGGAGTGCATCTGCCTGAGAGGCAGGGAACCAGCAGTCTACATTCAATTGAATCAGATCTGTAAAACTGATGCACACGCAAAACTCAGGTTCTGGAGCAGGACTGCAGTCCAGAAGTGGACGAACAACCAGAACTTTACGCCAGAGTGTACAGCTGGTGAACGCGAAGAAGAAGAAGAAGAAGAAGACACATTGTGCCATTGTAGAGTTTCTCTGGTGTTCTTTCCCTCATGTTCTTGGTCTGACTTGTGCTCTACATCCTTCTCTTCTTTTGGTGTGTGCCTTGTATGGTATTCTCTCTGTAAACATTTACAACTCAACTACATCACTGAAAAGAATGATAAAGAAGATGAGAAGTATGCTTAGTAGTAGTGAAGCTATCATGACTTTTACAAATCTCTGGCAGTGATTTTTATCAGGCTGGGTTAAACCCAGATTTGTGTTGAGAAAAATTTTAATGTTTTGCATAATCATTATTAGATGATGTATGATTTACAAACCTGCTAGTATAAGTTGCTTTGCTTTTAGGGAGGTCTGGTATTGTGGAAAGGCTTAGGAAGTGTGTACATAGTCCGTGGTATTGGCATGGTGTCTGAAACAGTCGTCAGTGAGATTACTTCTTTTCCAAGGTATTATTTCAGAGTTATTTTGATGTATTGTTTGTTGTAGTTAATTTTATTTCCTTGTTACTGTTGGTAATGTAATGGATAATATTAAATTCTTTGCTATCCTTTTGGGAATAAGTAACACTCGTGCTTGACAGCTCTGCCATTAACAATTACACAACAACTGCAGACTAACATATAACATATTTTCTCGCTGAGCTTTTATCCCTGCTTCTTTGGCCTGACATAATAAATTGCTAATGCTTACACCAACTTGAACGTACACGAATGCATTTCGTAATGCCGGGGGACTGGGATCGATCCCAGCTGCAGGCATTTTGACATCAAACAGTCTTGTGTTGGTTTTTAAAAGTGGTACAGAGATCTGACCTTTCAGAAGCATTAGCAAACTACCGAACTTAAAATTTGCCTAGGAAAGCTGTAGAAGCAAACCAACAACAAAAATTTGCTGGTTTTGGTTCTGCAGTGTCCTGTACAGGATATGCAACTAACTATAAACCTACTCATCAATATATACACATCCTCAGACCACAGTACACACCACAATTTCATTAGTGTCACATAAACAAAAAACAAAAGACATCACATCATAGGAAATTTCACTTCTCCTTGAATAAGTTAATAAATATTATTTTAAAACTATCTTTAATCTTGTGATTAAGCTTACTTGCTACTTTAACAGATAAACTTGATGTTTTTTTTGGTAACACTTAGGGAAGTATCACGCCACAGTTCGCTGAAACGTCTTGGAGGACATATTCTGCTAAAAGGGTATGTAGAATCTATGTCCAGTATTGTTAGCCATTATAGCCCTTTGCCAGAAGTATCTTATCTCAGTATCTGGGTTCTTTCTTGGTTTAGTCTAAGACAGGGCTATTCAACTGGCGGCCCGCAGAGACTTAGCAAATGGCCTTCTCATCACCTGCTATTTCTATTATAATAATGATCTTTCTATGCTTGAGTTCGGGCCACTGGCCCATGATGATCCTCGCTTACCAACATTTTGGTCCCTGAGTAAGTTAAATGGCCCTGGTCTAAGATATAGTTGTTGCATTACTTTCATGAAGCCAGGAATAGCACTTATCTCTGGGGAAGAGAAGTACGAGAATACGGTCTTCATGTCAGTGGGAACATTCTTCGACAAGTGGAACAGCTTTTGGACTTTGGTCTTGTTCAAGAACTTTGATTATGCACGCACATCCATTTTTACAGATGTCTTATTTGTATGCAGACTGTTGGTTCCTTTGCTTTCAGACAGGTGCACTCTGACTGAAGGAAACATCCCTCATTAATTTCCTTTACGACATGCTTATGAGAGGGGCAGTTGATCCATCTCCCCTCCTCCCCTCCCTCCGCCCCCCCCCCCCCCCCCCCCACCTATTCTGATGAGGCCTTGGAACCCATAAGGGATACTGTTTCCCTAAAAATAAGCCCCGGCGTGACTTTTTAGGATGCTTGTATGCAGGATCTACCATGATGTTGCAGCTTGACGCTCATCTGTGGATCCAAAGGATCCACATGGTACTGGATTTGTATTTCAAACATGACTTGGCTTCCAGGTCATGCCCAGCCTTAAATGGGTACTAGACGAAGTCCTGGCATTTAAAGGTGGCTGGTGTGATGTTGACCACGTCACCCATCGAGAGCCGATTGGTCTATTAAAAATGTCTAGCCTCATATAAGTAAGAATGCAGCCGGAACAACTACCAGTGGAGGCACTACACATGAAAAGATCTGATATCCCCCGTGTGGAATCCGGGGCCCCATTGTGGGGAAAACAAGAATAGACCCACTGCCTCCCCAAAAGCATGTCATAAGAGTCGACTAATTGGGGAGCTTCCTTTGAAGTCGGAGTGCATTTGCTGGAGAGGCAAGGAACCAACAGTCTGTATTCAAGAGAATGAGATCTGTAAAACTGATGCACACGCAACACTCAGGTTCTGGAGCAGGACTACAGTTCAGTAGTGGACGAGCAACCAGAACCTTCCGCCAGAGTTTACAGCTGGTGAACGCGAAGAAAAAGAAGATCTGATATGAAAGTAAGAGGTCACCCTAGGATATTTAAATATCTGGAGAGTATATTCTCAGAGGATGGGGGAATAGATCAGGAAATAGAAACAAGATGTCAACAAGCCAGTGCATTTATATACCAACTGACACCATTATTAAAACATCCAGACATAATTATGATTAATGAAATTCAAGAATTTAAATATCTGGAAAGTATATTCTCTGAGGATGAGGGAATAGATCATGAAATCGAAACAAGAGGCTATCAAGGCCAGTGCACTTATATACAGACACCATTATTAAGACATCCAGACATAAGTATGAGCCTCATAAAACAGATTATAAACATCATATTCATACCAACACTGTGCTACCAGTGCCAGACTTGGACATTATTAGAGGCTAACCTACGTAATATTAACACTTGTGGAATGAAATGACAGAGAAAAGCCGCCAGATTAACTATCTGAGACAAAGTTAGAAATGATATTATCAGATAGACTGTGGGAACAGCACCCTGCAACAAATTCTTGAAAAACAGAAGATTAAATGGTTTGTTAACTAGTAAGAATGCAGCCATAGCAACTACCAGTGCAGGCGCTACACATGAAAAGATGTGAAAATGTGATGTGGAAGCAAGAAGACATCCTAGAAGAACATGGATTGATGCCATTAAAGAGCTTCTACATGGACACAGCAATGGATCGCAAACTGTTCCTTCCAATGGCGTTTAACTGCAAAAGTGGAAATTAATGATGATGATGATGAATAAATATGGATTCTAGTTTGTGAACAAAATAAGATGTCATCTAAAAATGAGACCTAAAGCATCTTTTTGAGAAAAAATGAATATAAGACACAGTGAATGCTAAGAATAAGGATTCCAACCATGATATTGAAACAAAGTGTACAGAATAGAAGGGGGTGGAAGAACAAACTGCAAGCCGCCTATGATGTGTGGGTTAGCAAATGAAGGAAGAACAAACTGCAGCCGCCTATGATGTGTGGGTTAGCAAATGAAGGAAGAACAAACTGTGAGTCCTCTATGATGTGTGGGTTAGCAAATGAAGGAAGAACAAACTGTGAGTCCTCTATGATGTGTGGGTTAGCAAATGACGGAAGAACAAACTGCGAGTCCTCTATGAAGTGTGGGTTAGCAAATGAAGGAAGAACAAACTGCGAGTCCTCTTTGATGTGTGGGTTAGCAAATGAAGGAAGAACAAACTGCGAGTCCTCTTTGATGTGCGGGTTAGCAAATAAAGGAAGAACAAACTGCGAGTCCTCTTTGATGTGCGGGTTAGCAAATGAAGGAAGAACAAACTGCGAGCCCTCTGATATGTGGGTTAGCAAATGAAGGAAGAACAAACTGCGAGTCCTCTTTGATGTGTGGGTTAGCAAATGAAGAAAGAACAAACTGCGAGCCTTCTGATGTGTGGGTTAGCAAAAAAAGGAAGAACAAACTGCGAGCCCTCTATGATGTGCTGGTAAGCAAATGAAGGAAGAACAAACTGCGAGTCCTCTATGATGTGTGGGTAAGCAAATGAAGGAAGAACAAACTGCGAGTCCTCTATGAAGTGTGGGTTAGCAAATGAAGGAAGAACAAACTGCGAGTCCTTTATGATGTGCGGGTTAGCAAATAAAGGAAGAACAAACTGCGAGTCCTCTATGATGTTCGGGTTAGCAAATGAAGGAAGAACAAACTGCGAGTCCTCTATGATGTGTGGGTAAGCAAATGAAGGAAGAACAAACTGTGAGTCCTCTATGAAGTGTGGGTTAGCAAATGAAGGAAGAACAAACTGAGAGCCCTTTATGATGTGTTGGTTAGCAAATGAAGGAAGAACAAACTGAGAGTCCTCTATGATGTGTGGGTTAGCAAATGAAGGAAGAACAAACTGCGAGTCCTCTTTGATGTGCGGGTTAGCAAATGAAGGAAGAACAAACTGTGAGTCCTCTTTGATGTGTGGGTTAGCAAATGAAGGAAGGACAAACTGTGAGTCCTCTATGATGTGTGGGTTAGCAAATGAAGGAAGGACATACTGTGAGTCCTCTATGATGTGTGGGTTAGCAAATGACGGAAGAACAAACTGCGAGTCCTGTATGATGTGTGGGTTAGCAAATAAAGGAAGAACAAACTGCAAGTCCTCTTTGATGTGTGGGTTAGCAAATGAAGGAAGAACAAACATGCTTTTTGTTTGTTTAATTGCTTACAGTTACATAGCAAGGCAGATAAATAATAAAAGCAGAAGTTTTATGCTTCCTCTTTTCCTCCTCCTCTTCTTTTTCCTCTTTCTCACCAGCATCATTCACCCTTAAAAGGCTAGTTGAATGTTTTTATTATGGTTTAATGCTAGGCTGTGACATGTCTGCCTTTCTGCCAAACACATTCATTTTCAGTAACATCCTAATTAGCCATGTTTGGTTAAGGGGCAGTGGGCCTGTTATTCTTTTCCCCAAAATGAGACCCCAGAACCCAAACAGGAAATAGTTTTATGGAAATTTTATTTTTGTATTCCTGTGTTTTATTTTACATTTATTTATTCCACAGGATTGTTTTTGCTATTTCGACCCCATTTCTGGCTGCAAGTCTCGTAGAAACTGTTCAGGTTAGACACTATGTTTGACTATCACATCTATGTTCACCTGACTAAATATTTTTATCATCTGGTACTTATGTGGCTTAGTTGCCATATGCCTCTTGCTTTAAAAGTCATGGATTTATTTCATGGGTGTGGGATTTGGTTCATATGTGCTGTTTTACAGGTATACTTTAGACCACCACTAAAGCTGTGGAGATTGTGCTTTATGCAACAATCTTGGCAGGTGGCTAGCTGTTCTGTGAAGAGAGACAAGAGTCATAAGGAATAATTCCTGTATTGGTTCTACAACTCCACCCCATTCTGAGGGGCGGGGGAAATAACCGTAGACCCACTGCCTTCCTAACAAGCAAGTCTTACAAGGCGACTAATTAGGGGATTTTCCTTCAGAGTCGAAGTGCATCTTTCTGAGAGGTGAGGAGTTAGAAGTCTGCAAACAAATAAGCCAGATCTGTAAAGTGGAAGTGCACACAAAACTCAAGTTCTGGAACAAGACCAAAGTCCAGAAATGGATGAACACCCAGGACTTTCAGCCAGAGTTTACAGCCGGTGAGCGCTGAGAAGAAGTTATGGATATCAACCAGGTGCAATCAGTTCAGGACTCTTTAATTTGCACTTTTAGACTTTATCATCATCTTATGCTATGTCAATAAATTTATGTGATTATTGTTCACTATCTCACTTTATCAAAGTCTCAGATCAGGTAAATGCAGAAGTCGGACAGCAAGCCTGTAGCATAAGACCAACAAACAACTATAACTGAACATTCTGAAAATATGCATCTTTCCTGTGGCAGTATAGTACAGTGTGGTACCTCGTTATTCGTCCTTAATCTGTTCCTGATCCTTGGACTATATTTCCCCAGTGTGGGTTCCGGGGCCCTATTGTGGGGAAAACAAGAATAGACCCACTGCCTCCCCAAAAGCATGTCGTAAGAGTCGACTAACTGGGGAGCTTCCTTTGAAGTCGGAGTGCATCTGCCTGAGAGGCAAGGAACCAGCAGTCTGCATTCAAGAGAATCAGATCTGTAAAACTGATGCACATGCAACACTCAGGTTCTGGAACAGGACTGCAGTCCAGAAGTGGACGAACAACCAGAACTTTACGCCAGAATGTACAGCTGGTGAACGCAAAGAAGAAGAAGAAGAAGAATTTCTGTAAGAAATAAAGGGGAAAAAATGAATCTGTTTCCCTGAGCAAAAATCCTATTTTTATTTTCATATCGCATATGATCTTCATACTGTTAAACAGTGTCTTTTTTCACCTCCATGCTGATCCTGACCATTTTGTTCATTACTTAGCTCTTCTTGTTAACTTTCTCAGAACTCATGGTTAATAAATTTACTAAAAAATTTACATGGAAAAAAACACAAAACTATGGGGAAATTCACACAAATTTTGCAGAAAAATGCTAAGAATGCCACGGATAAAGAAACATAAAAATGCGTAAAATATCATTAATAAAGAAACAGAAAAATGCTAAGAATACAATGGATAAAGAAACAGAAAAAATGCGTAGAATACCATGGATAAAGAAACAGAAAAATGCTTAGAATGCCATGGATAAAGAAACAGAAAAATGCTTAGAATACCATGGATAAAGAAACAGAAAAATGCTAAGAATACAATTGATAAAGAAACAGAAAAAATGCGTAGAATACCATGGATAAAGAAACAGAAAAATGCTTAGAATGCCATGGATAAAGAAACAGAAAAATGCTTAGAATATCATTGCTAAAGAAACATAAAAATGCTTAGAATACCATGGATAAAGAAACAGAAAAAGGCTTAGAATACCATGGATAAAGAAACAGAAAAATGCGTAGAATATCATGGATAAAGAAACAGAAAAATGCTTAGAATGTCATGGATAAAGAAACAGAAAAATGTGTAGAATATCATGGATAAAGAAACATAAAAATGCTTAGAATACCATGGATAAAGAAACAGAAAAAACTTAAAATAACATGAATATAGAAACAGACAAAGTCTGACATTTTTTTTTCTTTGGGTTCCAGAGCCTCATTTTTAAAGACTTACTGAAATCATATTTGTTGGGTTGAGAGATGTAGATATCCTAGCCCAGCTGTACACCACAAAATGCTGGCCTCCTATTTAAGGCTGAACATAGAAGCAGAAAAAGAAATTTACATTCTACTAGATCTGAACATGGCAAAAACTGGCACATAAATAACATAAAGTCTCACTGCTTAAATACTTTGGCCATAATAAATACCACATTTAAAAATTTTTTTTTTAAGAACAGTAAATGGAAAACAATTTGTAAAAGAAGAAGAACTTATTTTTCAGTGCGAAAGTAAACAAACGCTTGTGGGGACACAGTATTAAAATTCACAAGGCAGGGGATTGGGACAAGGGACCAAGAAACTTTCTTATGGGCTGGCATGGTTCTGATGTTCAGATTCCAGGTCTCTGTGACTTGGAAGGCAGTGTAACAACAGACAGACTGGCCAGAAGCGGTAGGGACATAATGCACTAAAATTGTGACTTTAGAGACTAAGACATTAAAAACTAGAATCCGAGAAAGGTGGCTGGATATACGCAAACATTGTGTCCCCACAAGACTCACTTCCCCACCTCTCTAGAGAGGTACAGTGGGTCATATTCAGACTGAGAACAGGGCATAACAGACATCACCCACATGTTCAAGTTTTCCATTGAAAGAAACTCAGAGCAATTTGATAATTTGCTTGGTAGAGAAAAAGTAATTTATTAAACAATTACTTATTAATATATTACTTATATTTGTAAAGATTTTATTTATTATAAAAGTCGTATATTTTATGTATTAAAAATGGAAAATGTTTTTTTTTGGGGGGAAAAATATCAAATTTACAAGCAGTGTTCATAGACACATATCTTATGAACTCTTCGTGTACAAAGGAACACACTATGCATTGATTGACTTATAAATGTAATTTAATTGTCCTCATTTGCTGACAAAGTGAATTTTTAATCAGTTATGTTTGATTTGACAGAGTGAGATTGCAAGTGAACGACCTGGTGTTCTGGATGTCCTGTTTGAAGGGGTAGCTCGCATCGGTATGTGGGGCACCCCTCATGCTGCTCGACAGATTCCAGTCTGGCAGTTGGCGCTGCCAACTGTGATTTTTAGGTTGTCACACTATATTGTCAACTCCATTGCCCAGTTTACTGTGACATCAGCCATGCATTTAGAACAGCAGGAAATGAGAGTAAGCCTTAGATTAAATGTTTGTAGAGTTTGCATTAGGTAATACTAGGAGTGTAAGGTAGTGTCCTTAAAAGGGTCCACACCATTGGCACATCGGGCATATGATGCTACACCGATATTGTTGTAGACCAGGGCTTTTCAGCCAACTTCACATCGGGGCCACAGTTGGGAAAATAGAGATCATCATGGGCCGGAGTTCCAAACCTGAATATAGAAAGGTCATAAATAAAAAAAAACAAGTGGCAGTGATCCTCTGGCCACTTGTTAAACATTCGCAGGCTAGATTTGGTCCACAGGCTGCCAGTTAAATAGCCCTCTTGTAGATCAACTGACACTCATTGGGAGATAATTCTTCATATGCTGCCTTTCATCGGCCAGTAGAGTTGATTACTTCTTCTTATTCTTTTTTGCATTCACTTGCTATAAACTCTGGTTTGAAAGTTCTGGTTGTTCATCAACTTCTGGACTCCTGTTTCAGAAACTGAGCTTTGAGTGCACATTCGTTTAACAGGCCTGGGTCATTTTCATGCAGACTGTGGGTTCCTTGCCTCTCAGCCAGATGTACTCTGACTTCAGAGGAAGCTACAAATTAGTTGACTCTTACGACATGCATTTGAACAGGCAGCGGGTCTGTTCTTGTTTTCTCCACAATGGGGCCCCGGAACCCACACAGGGAGAACTGGTTTCAGAATCGGCATCATAGCAAACAGGGCGTATCTGTAGTCTACATCTCCGGCAGCAAATATCTTGAATTGTAGATGGTAACTGTTCCAGTTTCACACCAATTCTCTTTAGCTGCCTTTTATGATATGCATCATAACTGTGTCATTGTTCCCCTACAGAATAGCTGTCCGCAGGATAGAATGTTAAATTGAGAATTAACATCATAGCATTGAGGACATTCTGACTTTCACTATACCGGGCAGAGCCCAGCAGTTGAATTTAACATTGAAAAGTTTATTTGAAACCCTTTGGTCCTGGACCGCACATAATTGCATGCATTTAACATGATTGTGTCATTTGGCAAATACTGATCAGCATTTTCCATAAATATAGGTGCCCCATTGTTCAAGCATATCGTCGCTAGCAAAAGAAATCGATATGTCAGTTGGAACTGTTCAAAAGGTTGTTCTTGAGAAACTGCAGTATCAGATGTTCACAGTTGGTACCATAGATGTTGACCGACAACAAAAGGCGGAACAATGAACACTTTGTTCAGTGAGAAACCACAGTTTTTATTTTTGCGGACAGCTTTCACTGCCTACCTCAGCAGTAGATGCTTGCCTAACTTTTCTGACCAATTCATGGTGCATAATTAATTCAAAATGTATGCTTTGTTTAATTCTGCCACATCTATTGATGTTTCTTTCATACTTTCGTAATAAAGCCATTAGAATTAGTTTCAAATGTGCGCTCATCATACTAGAAAATGGAAGAGCCATTGTGGTGCTGTGGCCGGCACACTTACTTGCTAGCCTGGTTGTCATAGGTTTAAATTACCAGGCATAAGAAAATATTTGTTCTTGATTTCCCAGATCAGCTAGCATAGAAATGGGTACCATCATTTGCCCAGTACAAAGTATAGAAATGGGTCCTAACCTACTTGACTTATTAGAGATGAAGGTTGTTCTATATTGCCTTTTCTGTTTGGTCATTTGATGATGGTCGAGGTGAAAATGAAGTGGACACATCATGTTGTGGAATTGTTTATTTTCCAGGAGCAGCCAGGAGAGAATGGTAGGGAGCCCAGTGTGTATGAGACATATTTCCCTGATTTGCTGGCCGCATTCACTGGCGGATTCCTTGCAGACATGATCACTTTTCCAATGGAAACTGTTCTACATCGCTTGTATGTGCAGGTATGAGTTGGGCATTTAATTCACACTTTAGAATTACGAATTATGTATAAATATTCTTTCCATAGAATGAGAAGTTTTCAATTAAGTTTGTGTGTGTGTGTGTATACATATACATTTTAGCATTTTTAATTATGTATTTATATTCACATATCCAAATGTTCTAGCACAGTGTGTACAGTATGCTTAAATGCCTGGAAACAGGTCCTGTTCTTCACTTTTTTGTATTCTGAAGATGAGCACTATCTCAACCCATTTGGGGTAGTATATAAAATGTCTGATCTTAATCTTTTCAGATAAGAAACACATTAATGTCTGTTTTGTATTCTGTGCACATTAAAATCCCTGCTTTTGGAAATCATCCGGGTCATTTTACAAATAACTACAAATATGAGAATATCTATAACATATAGTAAGTAAGTGAAGTAAAGGACCCTTCTCCACGTCTTTAGGTGTATAGGGCTAGATCTATATTTTATAGACCAACAGCACAAGATGGGTGGTGTGGTCAGCATCACGCCGGCCGCCCTTACTTCCCGGGACTGCACCTGGTACCCACTCAAGGCTGGGTCGACCTGGGAGCCAAGGTCATTTTTGAAAAAAGTCCGGCTCTGCCAGGGAGCAAACCCACGACCTTCTGATCCGCGGTGAGCGTCTAGCCGCTCTGCCACTTATAATATGTACATCTCGTAAATCGGTATGGTAGGCTGGGGAAAAGGCATCACATTTATTTCCTAAACATAATTATAGGAGAGGTCACATATCTAAATTTGTGATAGAGTGACAGCCATCTCTGAAATGTCCCCACCTGGATGTGATTGAGTTGCAGGAGGTGTGCTGATGGTAGCTCTGCTACTAGTAGGGTTTCTTATGTTGGTCAGTCAAGAGTTAGGAACTATTCAAGGAGGCATAGAAACTTGTTAATTTAAAAATTGATAAGAAATGATTTTAAAAAAGGAGGGAGGGGGGGGGGGGGGGGGAATAACCTCCCTAGTTCCAGTGCTTTTGGCCTGACATCCCATTTCCTGAGTGTATACACTAAACACCACCTATGGTTTATTGTTGTAAACAGGGCACCAGAACTATCATTGACAACACTGACACAGGCCTAGGTGTGGTGCCCATCAACACGCGATATGAAGGCTTCTTTGACTGTTTCACCTGCATCGTCAAGGAAGATGGCCTCCAGGGTCTGTACAGGGGCTTTGGTGCCCTGCTCCTGCAGTATGCCATACATGCTCTCATCCTGAGACTGGTCAAGTTCATGTTTGAGAAACTGTCCCAGGAGTTTGACCTGCGTCAGAAGCAGCAGAAGGCTTCCAGCTTAGCCAGGAAATCCAGAACTCAGGACTTTGGTTTTGGGGAGGGATAATTTTTGAATTTTTTATGTTGGTGAAATATTTGTTGTGTGGTATTCATTGTTGATTTTGTGCATTCAGACTAAACATCTGATTCTATTTTTGTCTGATTTAGAGTCTGTAAATCCAATATGAGAGAAACAAAATGAAAATACTGAACATGATCTGCATTAGAAAATACAACAAAGTGTAGACAGTGTTAAAAAAAATTAAGGACCCTTTCCCACACCTTTCAGGCGTATTGGGTATATAAGGCCAGACCTATATTTTATAGAGCAACGGCACATGTGGGTGATGTAGTCAGCATCATGCCGCTCACCTTTACTTTCCAGGACTGCACCTGGTACCCACTAAAGGCTGGGTCGACCTGGGAGCCAAGGTCATTTTTGAAAAAGTCCAGCTCTGCTAGCGAGTGAACCCACGACCTTCCGATCCGCAGGCTAGCATCTAGTTGCTACGCAATGGTGACTCCCTATTGACAGTGTTGGATTTTAAAAATTCACCAAAAGAGATTTACAAGGAGACCTACAAACAATAAAATGTATATAACCCGCCTAAACTGGTTACTTGGTACATGGTTCACGGTTTACCAGTATAACTGCTTTAGGTTGAACAGGTTCCTGGGATTTGTACTTGTTTAATTCTCATCCGGGGTTAATTGGTCTCGAGGCATGGCATCCCCCTCAAGTGCTGGGGTCCCGGGTTCAGGCCAAGGTGAGGGCTAGGATTTTTCCCGCAGAGACTTCTAGTAATTTCCTTTGGTCTCTGGGTAGTAAGATCGAATGCTTATGTGGATTGTTGTGCACATAAAAAATCCCTTGGCAGTTGGAAATCGAAAAGAGTAGCCCAACGGCGCTGCCCGGGCAAAATTTGAAGTTTAAAATCTACCCAGAGTATTTCAGGATCCTCGCGGGTGCTATGGAGTTCATGCACTTTGCTGAGAATCATCAGACTTAGGCTTGAGTTAGAAGAACGAATCACATATGGGTTACTATCCTTGTGCCATGATGTTGATCTGTTGTTCAAACTAAACCAAACCTAGTTCTCATCCTTGAGATGTTCTGATAATGCTGGAGAAGAAGAATAAGTGGTATCTAATGCTAATGCTAGTGTCTGCAGAGGTGAACCTGAAGGGCTGATAATGATGGAGAAGAAGAATAAGTGGTATCTAATACTAATGCTAGTGTCTGCATCAGTTAAACCTGAAGGGCTGATAATGCTGGAGAAGAAGAAAAGTGGTATCTAATGCTAATGCTAGTGTCTGCAGAGGTGAACCTGAAGGGCTGATAATGCTGGAGAAGAAGAATGTTGTGTCTAATGCTAACTCACACTGAAGCCTGTTTCCGGAAAGCAGTGAATATTCAGAATAGTTTCCCTGGTTACAGACAGTTTGTTATAGTTAGTCTTCAGTATTAGAGCAATTGTATTAAAGTAGATGCTCACATTTGGTCTTGATTTATCTTACAATCACAACAAATGTGTGGTGTTTAAAGGTAGAGTAGAGGAATATATTTTTTGGGTGTTTCCTATTAATATATACATCATGAACGACCTGTTCTATTTCAGTAAGCATTTTCTTTGCTTTAAATATGTAGACCTGCATTGTGAATTACAGTTATATTTATCATAGCTACATTGAAAAGTTATTTTGCACTATATAGTGTTATGACATTGTGACGTAAGATTGTATTGTTGATTATAGTGACACTTGGAAATAAGATTATATTGTTGATTGTAATGACATTGGAAATTAAGACTACATTGTTGATTGTAGTGAGAGGGGGAATTCAGATCCTATTCTTGACTGTAGTGTCACTGGGAAATAAGATTGTAATGTTGATTGTAATAATATTGGGAAGTAAGATTGAAATTTGATTGTACTGACTTTGGAAAAAAGTTTAAAATCTTTATTGATTGTAGTTCATTGGGAAGTAAGATTGTATTGGTTTACTGTAGTGACATTTAGGAGGTAAGATTGTATTGTTTGCTGTAGTGACATTGGGAGGTAAGATTGTATTATTTGCTATAGTGGCACTGGAAAGTAAGATTGTATTATTTGCTGTAGTGACATTGGGAAGTAAGATTGTTTTGTTGATTGAAGTGACACTGGGAATTAAGAGTGCAGAATTGTTTGATTGTTGTGACATTGTGAAAAATCACAGAAAAGATTGTGTTGTCTCCAGAGTTCTTTCTAATTAACCAAACACACAATTAGAATGTTATATGTTTGTACTTTGCTATGCTTATTCCACTTTACAATCTACATTCTTTGGTCATGTGATGAGAAGGAAAAAAATTGGTGTACATTGTGAGAGTAGGACAGTTGCAGGGGAAGAGAAGCAGAGGGAGACTGAGACAGAGAGAACAGATGCTGGGCAGTTTGACATCATGGCATGGAAGATCATCTGTGCCAGGGCTGATTAAAAGTACATGAGACAGAAGGTTGTGTATAGACATGACTATTAGCACCGCACGGCATGGACTTTAAGAAGATTCCTCTGTACAGTCATATGGCAACTGTATGTAAAATGATACATTTATACAGCTGTATTATAGTTTGAATGTCATTGCTCTATATATTTCTTTCGGTTTAATTTATTTATATTTGATCTGTGTTTATGAAAAACTTAAATGTAAACCTTCTTATCTGTTTTTGCACCGAAGTTGATGTGGGTGGTAACCTTAATTAAGTTGTTGAGTTGAGTCAAGAATTGACATCACAGCACTCGGAGCATTCCCATGCATGCTCCGTCCTCATCTTCAGCAGCCAGAGTTTAAGTGCTGATGGTACCGGTTACCATCTGGTTATACGTCCCTCTTGCCTTTCCTCTGAGTGTAGTGAGCCGGCCAGGTGCCTCATTCTCTCCAGGCCATAATACTCTTTCTCTACTGATTTTGTTTGCTTGTTCACAAAGGGCCTTGACAAATCTGCCCTGTCGTGTATTAATTCACCACCCAGTGGTCCAGATCCAGCTAATCTGTCTGCCTTTTTATTACCTACCACGCTGGCATGGCCTGGAGAAAAAATCCAAAGCATGCTCACTACCTGTGACCTTTTCAGTGAAACTTGCTACTCTGCTAGAAGCATCCTTGTCTTCACCTTTCTCAGCATGCTTTCAGAGTCTGTTACAATTATCACATGTGTATGCATCTTGTTCTCTAGCCACCAGCGAGCTGCAGTTACTGCCTCCATGTCTATTCTCATGCTAGATGTTGTGGTGTCGTATGCTAGGCTGTCTTGCACTAAAGATTTTCCATTGGCTTTCGCTACGAACCCCCAGGCTTTTCTTTCCCCTGAACCCCGAACCATCTGTATAGATAATCAGGTCACTTTCACAGGAATTGTCATGAATCAACCATTGGACTTCCACCTCCGTAGCACCTGCCGACCACTCTCTGCAAACCCTGCCGAATGTGATAATAACCCTACACAGGTCAGACTTTTCTGCTGGTACTCTGACCCACTCCTCTCCTCGCCCAGTGTTCTCCAGCTGCATACTTGTCTTATTGTGTCTTCAGCTTGAGCCATCCATGATTTCCACCTTTTCAGTCTCTGACTTTTACCTGCAGCCAAAGCTTCATACAAAGGGTGTTCCCTGTCTGCAGCTACTCTGAAGTATGACTTAGCCTGCAGCACCTTAAGCCTGTCTGCAATAGTCGGCAATGCAAGGATGTATTGCATGTACACAATTGGGGTGTCTCTTGTACATCTCAGGATGAGCCGCATAGCTTCATTCTGTATGCGCTCCAGTTTCTCTAGCTCTCTTCGAGACAATGTGTAACCCTAGTCCATAATCAATCACTGAGATGATTTAGTGCTGGTAAAGTTTAAACAGCGTTCTCTGCTCCATGTCCACCTCCGCCATAGTCTTTAGTGCATTTAGACCTTTTTGAGTCTTTGTCACAGAGGATCTATATGATCCTTGAAAGACAAACTTCTGTCAAAGGTAATTCCCAGGTACCGCAATCTGCTGACTTTTTTGATGTCCCTGCTGTTTATTTTAAGCCTGGGAACATCAGCTCTAACAATCCTGTTGTCCAAAGAACACCACAGGACAGTTGCCTTTTATGGGTTGATTACAGCACTCATCTCTGTACACCAGTCGATAACCTTATCTACTGTCGCCTGTAACTTTTTAGCTATTTGATTCCGATCACTCCTGTTTCTGTATATGAGAACATCATTTGCAAATGTCAATATTCTGCCAACTCCAGGTGTTTCCAGGTAGGCAATCTTGCTCGTAAAAACATTAAACAGTACAGGTGAAATTGCAGATCCCTGTGGTAGTCATGGAGCTTTAATACATGGTTCAAAGGACCATGAACCCAGGCGGAGAGCTACCTGGCGAGTTTACAAAACGGCTGCTATCCAGTTCACCAACCAAGGACAGACTCCCTTCTCCCTAAGCCTTTTCATCAAGATACTGTTTCTGACTCTGTTGTAAGCATCTTCTAAATTGAGTGTCACTGCCACCGTTTCCTGTTTGTTATGGAAACCTTCGAAGGTATCAAAGGCAAATTAATTAATTAATTGTTAGATATTTTGTAGTCATCATCATCATCATGAAGCAGGTAATTTGTAGAACGTCGCTCCCATCACGGTCTGTCTGAAAGAAACTCAATCTCTTGCCAGCTCTTCCACCTTCTGCACTTTCATTTTTAAGGAGTTACTTAGATCCTATACTTTTTCCTGGTACCATGCCTTTTGCTATTATTTTATCTCTGGTCCGCCATGGTGCTTGATACGACCAAAATATTTCAGTTTCAGAGACACGATTCTGTTTCTGATAAAATCTTCTTTAATGTTCAGATTTTTTAGAATGTATTTCTTCTCTTCACTGTCCATGGTATTCTAAGAATCTTTCTGTAGCATTTCAGCTAAAAGCCCCTGTTTTCTTACTTAAGGACTGGGAGATAGTCCACAACTCACATCCCTCTGTTGCTACAGGAAAGTTGCATGCTCTCAAAATTTTCATTTTGATTTCCTTGCTGGCACTTAGCCATAGAATTTACT